GATGCCGGGAGCTGCAGCAAGGACCCGACGAGCTCCTGTGTGCAGTGTGCGGCACACACAAAATGCTTGGTAAATGTGAGCTACAGTCAGGCCTGCTCTGAGCAGCCGGCCCAACAGCTGGAGCTCAGGAGCTCCGACCCATGCATGAGCCATCCTGCACCCACTGAGTCCACATTTCTATTTCTGGTCCCAGCACCTCCCTGGTCCAGGTTCGTGTATCCATCCAAATGTCCCATTGGACATCTCTTAGGCACCCAACCCAGCTAGCCGAACAGGAGCTGCCGTTTCTGTCTCCTGAACCTGCTTCTCCCGTGGCCTTCTGCACGGGAGCTCACAGCAACGCTGTCTTCCAGCTGCTCCGGGCCCGATCATGGAGCCATCCTTGACTCCTCTATCTCACATCCCGCTTCCAGTCCATAGAAAACTCCTGTCCCCACCTTTCAGATGCGTCCAGGACCTCCCCTCCTTGTTACCGCCCTGTCCAGTAGCTGTAGTCTGTGGCCTGGGTCATTCCCAGAGCCTCCAGCCTGCTTGCTCTATCCCATACTTGCCCCTGAAGTCTGTTCTCAACCCAGCAGCAGGAGTGACCTCATTCAGACAGCTCAGATCATGTCACTCTTCTGCCCACCCAGAGCCAAAATCTTCACAATGGCCTGCTGGACCCTCTACCACCCAGCCAGCCCTCCCAGCCCTGGGTGCCTGGGGCCCCATGTCTGACTCTGAACAGGCCACACTGGCTTCCTTGACGTTCCTTGATTTCAGACACTCTCCCACCTTGGGGCCGTGCCCCTCTTTTCCCTCTTTCTGGCAAGGCCTCTTTCAATCCCCCCAGTCCCTCCCGTACCCCAGAGGCATCCCCAGACCACTCTATTTGAAACTGTAAAGTCCTCCTACCCCCCGACCTCCCCTGCTTGCCAATCCCCTTTTCTTGTTTCATTTTTCTCCATAGCCCTTATTGCTTCTCTCGTGCTGCCTGTTCTACTTAGTGGCTTAACTGGCTTGCCTTCCTCTGTCTGTTAACATGAACACCCCAGAGGGCAGATGTTTGTGTATGTTGTTCTCTGCTCTGTCCCAGAGCCTAGAACAGTGCCCAGTACATAGAACAAAACCCCGCAGTGAGGGGCTCTGGAACAGTGTAATTTAGATTGACTGGCTCCAGTCCTGGCCCAGGGCCTGTTCTCACGTGGTCACAGGACCGTCACTTTTGCAGGCCTGGATTTTCTGGGCCGTGCCTTACAGGATGTGCGCCATCTCCTGGTGCAGGTCCTGCAGGGACTGGAGCAGGCCGGGGAGCAGGAGCTGGTGGTGGTGCTGGTGGTGTAGCTGGGCAGCCCGCACACCCAGCACGTAGCGGTTGTGGTGGGCAAAGAGCTTCCACAGGCTGCGCACATACTTATCCTTGGCCCTGTCGCGGTCCTTGTCTGCCAAACAAGGGGAGCAGGTGGGGGTGACAGCACAGAGGCCTGGGCAGCCCCCATTCCCTGGGCACCTGTGGACAGGGCAGGGCTGGCTGGGAATTCCCTCCCTGCCAGCGAGAGAAGCCACAAACCTTTGCTGGCTTCCTGGTACTTGCGCCGGGCCTGGGCGCTGTCCCGTGCCAGGACTCGGTACTGGCTCTTCAACTTCTCAATGTCCTGGCTGTGCGTCTGGGGAGAGAGGAGAGGCCAGTGTGGGGGCAGTAGGTCCCCAGGCCACAGGAGACTTCTGCTTGAGGCAAAGCTCTGGATGGATCCTTCCTCCAGGAAAGGCCTGGAGACCCTTGGGCCTAATCTCTTCTGTGGAAGTTAGAGTTAGAGGGGCTGGGTTAAGGAAAGACCCCTGGGGGAGGCACAGAGGTGGACTGGGCAGGCTACACATGGAGCCCCCTTGGCCTAGAGAGCTTCCTGGTGGCACGCGGGGCCCAGGTGCCAGCCTGCGTGGCCTGTGCCATCGTTGTGCAGCGCTCCGCATTTAGAAGGGTCCTGCCTTTGGTTTAATGGTAGGTTAGTGACATCTTGACATTTTTTGACAAGGGGCCCCATATTTTCATTTTGCACTGAGTCCTGAAAACTATGTCCCCGGTGGCAGGAACAATAGGCAATCAAGACCAGAGTTCCCATCGCGGTTCCTTTGTTTATGCGCTGGGATACTCTGGGCAAGTTCCATCCCTACCATCTGAACCTAGGGTTCTCCATCTGTCACTGAGCTGAATGTATAGACTAGACGAGCCTTTTCCTTAAAGGGCCGGATGGTAAACATTTTAGGCTTATACAGTCTCCGTTGAAATTGCCCAGGTCTGCCATTGTAGCTCTGCAGTAGCCACGGTGATATGAAAACAAATGGGCGTGGCTGTGCTGGGGAAAAGCACCTATGAAAACGGGCCGACCCCTGAGTTACACGAGCTTCTGGGGAGAGAGCGAGCCAGACGGGACTGGCCACCAGGGGTCGCTGTGGGCCCGTGGCAAGGCTGGGTTTGGCCCTGGTGGTGCAGTGGCTGAGCAGCACGGTGAGCCGCTAGACCCAGGAGCTGGGCAGATTCAAATGCAGGCAGGCTGACTTCGCAGCCCCAGGCGCAACCTCTGGGCCAGGGGCCACGCTCCCCCCTCGCGGGATCTGCGGCGCCCCGGGAGGGACCCGCCTAGGCCCGGGGCCGACAGGCTAGCCCTCATTCCTCTCTGTCTCTCTGCCCCCTGTGCCAGCTGTTGAGGCACCGGCTGGGACCCAGTGCGAGATGCGCTCCCCCCAGGCGGTGATGGGCGGCTCCTCCTCGGACTCTCAGCTTTCTGCCGGGCACACGGGAAGGTGACAGAGAACGTCGGCGGGCCAGCCCAAGTCAGGGGAGGAGGGAAGGAAGCGGGGACAGGCCCTGGCGGCAGGCCTGTGGTCAAGAACTTCCACTTCCCCAGTGAATCCAGGGGCCCTTGTGCAAAACCAGCCCTTTCAGCCTCAAAGTTTAGGCAGAAATCGGCAGGGGAGGCCCGGCCGCCCACCGCGCACCTTGGAGAGCTCCTGCCGCAGCCGCTGCCACTGCTCGCTGTAGGCCTTGCGCAGCTGCTGCCGCTCACGGATCAGCAGGCCCAGCTTGCTCAGGGGCCCCGAGTTCAGGTCCTCCGCGTGCTGCCTCAGCAGCTGGCTCAGGCCCTCCGTGTGGCTGGTGATCTCCGCCCAGGACTAAGCACAGGGTGGGCAGGGCAGGCTGGGGGACAGTGGCTTCCGAGCCCAGGGCCTCCCCAGAATCCAACCCTCCCCAGTGGGCGCCAGGACAGGAAGGGGGCAGGCAGACACCCTGGGCCAGGGGGAACTTCTCAACAGGGGCAGGCGGGGGTCCAGGAGGCCCAGGGCCCCCCAGAGGCCCACCTGGCTAATGGGGCTGTCGGGGCCAATGCCCCGGCCCTGGGTCCCGCTGTCCTGCAGGGACATGTGGTGCAGCAGCCCTGCATATTCCCGGTCACTCTTGACCCGCTGGGCCATCCACTTCCTCATGCCCTCCAGCAGCCGAAGCTCGGCCTCCTGCATCTGCTGCAGTGCCCCGTGGCCCTGGGGGCTGCACAGCTCAGAAGAGAAGCCCATAGTGCCGTCCTGGGGACAGAGGGAAGGGCCATCACGGGGAGCAAGGCAGCAGCAAGAGATGGAGGGGTGGGACAGGCAGGCTGGGGGCTTCTGGGGCGAGAGGAGCCGCAGGCAGGCAGGAGGTGGGGACCTGTCCTCATGAAATGCAGCCATAGGTACAAAACAGTGGGCTGGCCTGGGAATGGTCCTCACTGCTTCCTGAGTCCTAGGCCAAAGCCCGGCCCAGGGGTCCCTTTCCCAGTCCTGGAACAGGAACCACCCAGAGCCTCCCTCCCTGGGCCCTTCCCCCGCAGCACCCCACTGCAGGTGCGTGTGTGCCCAGCGTCCTCAGTAGAGCCAAGCCCGCCCCGCCCTTGCCTAAGCGGCCACAGGCCAAGCCCTGCCACTGCGGCTGCCCCAGCCCTGCCCTGTCCAGCGACGGCTCTGGGGATCCTGCCTGCCCCCTGCCCCCCGCCCTGCGCCCTGGGCCGCTGCCCCCTCCTGGGCCTCGGGGCGGGAGTTACCTGCACAGGCATCTGCTCCCGGGGCCGCGGAGGACTGAATCTGCCCAGCGCCCACCCAGCCAGTTCCTGATTCCGCGCTTCCTCCTCCCGCGGTTTCAGTTGGCTGGGGCCGGGGCGGGCCCGAGGGGAAGGGGCGGGCGGCGGCGCCCTGCGGCCCGCTGGGCTGCTGCCTCCCGGCCGGCCGCAAGGCCACGGAAACGGAAGGGAGGAGGGGGCCGGGAAAGAATGGCTGTGTGGAGAGCAGCCCGCGCCCCGGTCCCCCGGGGCCTGGGCAGCGCCCGGGAACAGGGGAGGCGCCCAAGGGTGCGGGGTCGGGGGGGCCAGCCCAGGGTCAGGCATCAGGCAGGGCTCCCGAAGCTGTGGGCAGTGGGGTAGCCCCAGAAGAGGAAGGGGGAGCCCCTGCTGCAGGCCTCCCTGCCCTTTGGATTCCCTAAGGAAAGTCGAGGCGCCTGCCTTCGTTTGAAGAAAGTTTCCAAAGAAATTTCCAAGGAGAAGCCTGCTTCTCCGGCACAGGCCCTAGTGGGCCTGTCCCCACCCCCCTACCTCCGGGCAGGGAGGAAAGGCTGGGGCCGGCATGGCCGGCTGGCAGGTGGAGAGGCCCAGACCTACCTATGGGGGGCTTGGGCTCTTCCCAGCAAAGCCATCTTGGTTGCCAGGCCTCCCATGGAGGCAGCCGAGCCTCCCCAGCCTGACCTTACCATTACCATCCGCCCTCCTGGAGACCAGGTCTGTGCAGGTAGAGGTGCCCAGCCCCACCCTCGGCAGCCCACCTCCTTCCACAACCCTCTACTTCCTGCAGGAGACCCTCGAGCCCCCTGGGAGATGGACGCTGGAGTCCTGACTTGGGCCACCTAGAGGCGGACAGGCCATGACACCTGGCTTGTCCCCCACCCCACAGGCGGTCCAGGGGCCTGGAAGGAACACCGCCGCACCGGAGGCCAGGCCTGCTTTGCATAGTCTGCATGTTTAATCGCTTTAAAACCTCTAACATTATCTCGTGTCCATTAAATAGAACAACAATGCTGGGCCTGTTTAAATTACAAGAAAAAAATCACTGGGCACCAACCCAGTACCTTACAGAACCAGCCAGGCTGGCCACAAGGGTAGGGGATGAGAGGAGGGGCACCCCTGGGCAGGTGGCTGGGTGCCAGGGCCAGGGGAGAGAAAGAAAAGGGGTCTCCCAGGTGGGAGGGGACTGATTGTCCTAATGGGAGGGGTGCAAAGGCACGTCAGAAGAGGGGGACTTGAGGGGCAGGTCAGTGCTTTCTCCACCAGGACACAGTGTTGGAGGGGGCTCAGTGCCACTGCCTGCCCACCCCTGGCACTTACAGAACCAGTGACCCATGAGCCCTTGGCACGATGAACTCCATCGGCAGCGCCATGGCAGCCTGCCCCTCCCAGGTGAGTTCCCTTTCTTGGGCCCACCTGGCCCGCCTGCCTCTTCAGGACCTGGGGTTCAGCTCCCCCTCACTCCTCGGCAACAGGCTGCAGTCCCCCACACCTCAGGGCCAGGGGAGTCAGGGGAACAGCAGGGTGGACAGGGAGTAAGGGAAGGTGGGGGGTCCAGCTGCTACCCCCGTTAAAAATACAAAAAAAAAAAATCGGCATCTAAAGTGAAATCATCACAAAGTGAAAATATATCCTCAAACAGCCCCTGAGATCCCCACAGGGGAAAGCAGCATTGGGTGGGAGGTGGGAGAGGCCGGCTGGGCCACCGTCCCTCCCCACCACCCACCCAGGGGCTCCAAGGCTGAGTGCCAACAGCCCAGGCAGCCCCGGGCTCAGAAAACAGGGACTTAGGCCCCAGCGGAAGGGGGGTGCCGGGGAGGGTGGTCAGAAACCAGCACGGGGCTTTGCCTGGGCCAGCCGCGCCCAGCGGGCTGCCAGCTGTGGAGGGGGTCAGAGGGACGAGCACACGCACACACACACACACACGTGTGCACAGCCTGGAGCACCTGCCCTGCCGTGAGCCCTTCCTTCACTCACTCCTGCCCGAGGCTCACCAGCCGTGGGGACAGGGCCAGGGATGCAAAAGCCCTTGGAGAGGTGGCCTTCTCTTTCCAGGACCGCCTAGGCCAGCGCCCCTGCTGCCTGGATGGGAACCATTATTGCTTTCGAGGACAGGAAGGGGCAGAAGTGCAGCCTGGGTCAGGAACCCCCAAGAGCTGGGCTGCCCCCACCTCACTCCGCAGGAGCTCCGCTGGGCCTGGGCCTGGGCCTTGGAAAGCTGCCCTAAGGGTTCACTCCTTCCTCCGGCACGGAGAGGGGGAGAGGGCGCTGGCGTGGGGGAGGCCCTCCCCTGGCCCCCGCTGGTCCCGGGGCCCCACCTCAGGTTGCCAGGTGGCCTGAGGGTATGGGAAGCAGTCTCTGCCCCTCTTGTCTCCCAGCTGGGGTCCAAACCCAGTCCCAAGATAAAAAAATACTTTGGTGAATTAAAAAGTGCCCGAGGGGGTGGGCCTGGAGGGGCGGGCAGTGGGCGCTCGTCAAAGGGCGCTCTGGTCTTTGATAAAGGCGGTCCTCTCGCCCCGGCCCTCGTCCTCTTCTGAGTCGGACGGGCCCTCCTCCTGCCAGGCCTCGGGGGGCAGCCCCTTGTAGGAGACGAGGCCTCGGTCCATGGCGTACACTTTCACCCCCCGGAAGCTGGAGCCCGAGCGCAGCTGCAGGACCAGGAAGACAGTGACGAAGACCAGCGCGATGAAGGCGCAGCTGAGGCCGGCCACCACCTCAGGCAGGTGCGACGGCGGCCGCCCGGCCCGGAGCCGCGGCCCCGCCCCCACCCCCACCCCCACCTCCGGGGGCGGCCGGGGCGGCGGCGGCGGCTGCTGCGGGGACTCGCGGCTGCTCTGGCTTTGCCGGGAGCATGTCAGCTGCACAGGGTCCAAGGAGGCGTGGCTGGGGCAGCTGAGGCAGTCGGTGGGGGCCAGCCCCTGGCATGTGGCACACGAGGTGTGGCAGGGAGCGCAGACGCTGGCCCGGATGGTCTCCACGTCGTTCTCCGTGCTGTAGTGGGTATCGAGGACTTGGGGAGTGAAGCCCGGCGGGCAGTGCTGGACGCAGCTCTTCCGGTGCAGGGAGAAGCCTTCCTCGCACACTGCCGGTGCAGAAGAGAAGGCGGTGTCAGTGAGTGGACTGGGCCCACAGGGCCAGACAAGCCCCCAGGGGCTCACAGCCCTAGAACCGGGGTCATCCTGAGGGCCGAGGGTCTTCAGACCCCTTTTCCTACTGGAGCTTTAGGACAGTGACCCTCTGTCCCCTCCAGCCTCAGGCCCCAGCCCCAACCACATGCTCACTGACCCACGCAGGCCTGGCTGGACGTGAGGGTCTTGCAGCCGCTGCTCTCCGGAGGCGCAGGCAGCCCCTCGGGGGCTGTGCCGTACAGCACAAGGGTGAACTTGGTCAGTGTCCCTGTCCCAGGGTCAGGGAAGAGGCAAGAGTTAGCACTGGCTGCGGCCCCCAGACCCGCCTGCTGGCCCCCTCGTCCCCCAGCCCTGAACAGCCCCCAGACCATAGTTGTTGGCTTCACTGGTGTTCTCGATCTCCAGGGCCCACTCGCCAGAGGGGTCCTCATCCCAGGAATGCGTTGTCATGAAGGCCCAGTCATTAAACCCATCAGCAGAGTAGTCGTGCGGCCTGGGGAGAAGGGCGCACACTCGTCTGAGGCCTCGGGGGGACCCCAGCCAGAGGACACCACGCCCACGACACATGAACCACACAGCTTCCCCCAGTGCAGTGAGACCCCAGGGGGCCAGAAATGCCTGCTGGCGCTGTTTCCCGGCAGGCCAGATGTTCTCAACCAGAAGATTCTGGAACCATGCAAGGGAGCTATCCACGGGAAGGCACGCTACCAGCATTTCATGGGCAGAAGCCAGGGACTCCTGTGATATGGGACAGTCCCACAGGACAAAACCCGCCCTCCCAAAATGCCAACAGTATCCCCACTGAGAAGTCTTTGGTGGCCATTGGGTTTGTGTGACCCACCCAGAAGCGTGAGTGACTGCATGTGGGGTAAGAGTGAGGATGAGCCGGGGAGGGGATAGGGCAAGCACCTGGCAGCCAGCAGGGTGGAGCGGGTGCCCATGGGGCTGACCAGGTGGATGGCCAGGTCACCACGGCGATTGTAGGACAGAGTGAGCCTCGCCTGAGCATGCTCCAGCCGGGTGACGTGGTTGGGCTCCCCCAGGCAGGCGGCCACAGTCTTCCGCACCTCTAGCCGCTTCCCAATGTCCCTGTGCACAGAGTGCCACGATGGTCTGTCAGCCTGGCCCAGAGAGACCAGCTGGCACCCCCTGCAGCCCGCAGGCCCCGCCTGCCCTTCCCCAGCCAGGGCCCAAGCCTCACTTGGGCTCAGTGAGGATTTCAATGATGCACTTGCGCTGGGGCGCCACTGATGTCCAGTTCTGGGCCAGGGTCACCATAGCACCTGCGTCCAGCAGCCCGTAGCCATATGAATGACTCACTATGGGGCAGGGAAGGCGGCATCAGCTGGGAGGCACAGGGTGTCCCACCACCTTCCCCCAATCTTCCTACGGGGCCACCATGTCCTCACCTTTCCGGCCCACCCCATTGGTGGCCCAGTCGTTGGCATTGAGGTGGGCTGGCTTTGAGGTCCGTACCACCAAGTGCTGCATGTCCCGCCAGGTAAGATTCTTGCTGCAAAGGCGGGAGGGAGAGGCCAGGGGCTCAGTCTCTTCGGAGAGATGCTGGAAACCAAGGGCTGCCCTGCAGAGGGCACTGGAATGGCAGGGTGCCCCTCAGCCCCCACCCACTTACTTGGCCTCCAGCGTGAGAGCAATGATGCCAGCTGCCAAGGGGGCAGAAGCCGAGGTGCCCGTGTGAGACTCCGTACACTTCTGCCGCAAGTCAGTGGTCACCTACCAGGAGGACAACGGTGTTAGGCCGGGTGGGTGGGGGGAACCAGAGGAGCCACCTGCCCTCTCCTCCGCCTAGAGGCCCTGAGCCCCAACGATGGCATGGGAGCCCAGGCCAAGGCACCTCAGTCCCAGCGGCCACCTTGCTAACTCGCTGTGGACAGGCCAACACCTGGCCCTGTCTGGGCTCCAGTTTCCCAAGGAACAAGGGGTAGGACTAGAGGCTGGAGATCGTTACGGGCAATACCTGCTTTTAGGGAGAGTCTACACTTCCCAGGGGCTTCAGACAGCTCCAGGGCCTCCACCAGTCCTAGACAGTCCCGGCTCCCATTCCACCAGAGCTGAGCCACTATCACCCAGCCATGTGGGGTGGGGGGAGGCAGATGAGGTCGGACAGGGGGCCCGGGGCAGGGCCAGCAGGCAGCCCCATCTTCCCTGCCCCCACCCAGGCCAAGACTCACAATCTGCTTCTCGTTCTGGTTGCCGCTGCTGTAGGTGGTGGCCAGTGTGGACGAGCAAGCCTCACTGTACCAGGGCACGTTGCCGAACTGCGTGGCGCTGCTGATGGACAGCGTGTAGATGCTGTTGGTGTAGCCATCGCAGTTACAGCTGTCATGCTCCCGGCCCCCGTTCCCCGAGGCCCAGACGAAGATGGAGCCCAGCCCCCCACGGCCCTGTGGACAGAGAACAGGGTGCGGAAGGCCCGGTGGGTGGGTGCTGCTGGAGATGGGGAGGGCTGGAGGGGATTTCTTGGGGAACCCTCTAACCCCCCCTGGTTCCCCTGAGATCCCTGATGGTTCAAAAATAGTACTACTACCAAAATGCTTGGAGTGCTGATTCCAGGAGCTGGAATTATAGGTGACTTTTATTTATTTTTCTTTTTCTATTAATTTCTAAGTCCTTCTAGTCCATTAATGTTCTAACAAACACGCTTTGTGTAAAATTAAAACTAAACACAAGAATAAACAAATAGGAACAGAAAAACCCAGGAAGAAAGCTATGGAAAAGCCAGCACGCAGCTTGCTGCCAGAGGCTGTGCCTGGTCACCAGGGCTGGGCCGGGTGCCCCCCTCACCTGGCTGACCCCACGGAAGAAGGCCTCCTCGGCAAGACGGGCCGGCCCGTCCACGGTCTTGCCATCATCCTCGGGGCCCCAGCTGGCACTGTAGATGTGGATGTGGTTGGGGTTCAGGCCCAGCGAGCGCGCCTCCACGGCGTCTGTCACTTCACCGTCCAGCATGCGCACCCCTGGCCACAAAGGGGGTCGGGGAGAGGGCTGCTGTGTGGGCCTGGCTGCCAGGTGCCCCCCGAGAGCACCCCTAGCCCTGCACCAGAGGACGGACAGGGGAGGAGAGGGGCTGGTGCTGGGAAGCCCTGAGCCCGACCTCCCCGGCCTGCCTCTGCCTTTCACAGACAAGACCCGGGGTGGGGAAAAGAAAACAGCCCCTGCTCTCAACCACACATTCTGGGTGAGAAGGAGTCTCTGGGCTCCCATGGAGCGGGGTGATCAAGGCCTGCTGTGGAAGGACTCAGAGTGGGTGGTGAGGATTTAGGGAGACTTCTGTTAAGAAACATCGCGCCCCATAGCACAGGGCCATCAGCATTTTGAACTGCTAAGAACCCTTTGAGGAATAGCCATGTGGTCAAAAGGATTCACAGTGGGAAAGTGACAGGCACTGGCCAGATGGGAAGTAGGTGGAGAAAATCCCCCCCAGCAAGCACCCCCCCGAAAGACAAGCTGGTCCAGGCCGCACCCACCTCCAATGCGGGCATTGTAGGCCACGCCCACGCCACAGACGCCGTTGTTGGCCACCGCGGCCACCTCGCCTGCACACCGGGTGCCGTGCCTGCCGGGACAAGAGCACAGCATTAGCAGCAGGCGGGCCACAGCAGGGCAGCTGGAGGAGCAGGAAGCGCCAGCACATCTCTCCATCCGTGACCACCGTCCCCCATGCATACACGACCCACTCCCACCCGCTCTACTCAGCCTGTGGCCAACTTCCTCCAGCCAACTCTCCCTCAGAGCCCCAGCCAGAGCCCAAGCCTGCAGGAGAGACTTCAGCCTCCAGGGCGGGCCAGGTCTTAGCCCAGGACCGGCCCTGCTTCCTCAGTGGGAGAGAGGAAAAGGGAGGCAGAGAGCAGGCCCGCCATCTCTTACCTGTTGTCATTCATCTGTGTGTACCGAGGCTGGGGGTCAGGGTCCTGGTCGTTGACGTCAAAGCTGGCCCCGGGATCCTGGAAGGACACGGCCACTGTTAAGAGCAGCCTGACCCCACTGGCAGAACAGGCCTGTCCCAGGCACCCCTCGCCAGCGGCCACTCCCTCCCCCGCCTCCTCACATAATTGCCTGCCAAGTCCGGGTGGTTCTTCTCTATGCCGTCGTCCAGAATGGAGACCACAATCCCATGCCCAGTGAAGCCCTGGGCCCAGGCCTCCTTCACATTCAGGTCCCGCTGGGCGGCGCCGGACTGCAGAGACACCCCACCCATCACCTTGGCACATACCTGAAGAACCCCTTTGCCACCCCAAAACCTCCTTCTCTACCCACCCCACTCCTGAAACGCCACCACTGGTTGTCTGGGCCCCATGGAAGTGTAAAGAACTCTGGGAGGGCCAGCCCCAGGCTTAGCCAGCTGGGCAAGGGAGAGACTGCTCTGCAGACAGAAAGAGGAAGAATGAGAGGTGGCCTCATCCTTTCCAGGGACCCCTCCAAGGTTGGATGCAGCTGGGAGGGGGACCCAGGGCACGGAGGCCACCTACCAGGTACCACTGCTGGGGAAACTTGGGGTCTGTGGGCTCCTGGTACAGGTCCCGTTTGGTCCTGCGCTTTGCCACCTGCTGCTCCAGCCACTGTACCTGTGAGGGAGAGACAGTGTGGGTGGAGGAGCGGGGTGCAGAGAGGGGTGCTCCTGAGAGCAGAAGGGAAGGGTGGCGGCGGGAGGGGCTGGGGCACTCACCTGAGGCTCCCTCTGCAGCCGGGTGTGCCGCAGGCGGTGAGGCAACAGGGAACGCTTCGTCACTGCTCGATGCCAGAAGTGGTAATAGTCACCGAAGATCTGCAACAGAGCAGGGAGCCTGAGCTGGGCTTTCCACCTGTCAGTCCCTAGGAGGGGCAGGAGACAGAGCAGCCTCACGACGGCTGGGGCTGGTGGGGCACCTGCTCCTTGCCCAGGACCCAGTAAGAAGGTGTGGGGACCGAGGGAGACTCACTCTCCTGGGGATACGCTGGTTCTCCCGCAATCTATGCTAGAAGGCCAAGCACAGGACAAGCTGCTGTTCCCGTTCCCCCAGCCACCAGGAACATGCCTGTTACCCAGGTGCCCCTGAAAAGACACCTCACAATCCTGCTCCTGGTGCTGGAACCCTGCCCTCACCACCCCGCACCCCCTGGCAACATCCTGTCAAGGCCAGCAGGTGGTGAGAACACCTACCTGGCCCAGGTTGAGGAAGCCATGCTTGCGTGCCACGCTGTCAGCCACAGCAGGACCTCCAGGAATGCACACAGCCCAGGTGTTGGTGAAGACCTGCTGGCCACGGGCATCAGCAGCCAGCAGGACCAAGACTCCTGCTGCTACCACGCATAGCACCCAGGGCCTCAGCTCCATGGAGGGGACAGACGGCTGGGACCCCGGAGCCCCCGTCTTCTAGGCCTGGTCACAGGGCCTCGGCTCCCGCGGACCCGTTCACTGCCTGTGGCCCGGGGCTGACTGGTGGGGACATGGGGCTGAGACGGGCAGGGCTGCGGGCGGAGGAGGTCTGCCAGCTCTGAGGGGAACAAGGGCAGAGAGGAGGGGACAGTTAGTCCCTTCCCAGCCACATGCTGATGCTGCTTCCACCCGACAGCTCCATCTGGGCCTGAAGGGGGCCCTGGGGGGAAAGGCAAAAATCCAGCCCCCAGGGTCAGCCAGACAGATGGACCCCCTCCACACACACACACTCCCGATCCTCTCTCCACACAAGAATACGGAAGCGGAATGAAGGGCGCCAAGGCCTGAGTCACTCAAAATCAGAAACAACTGAATAAATGCTCGCCAGAATCACAATAAAAAAGATGGGTTATAAAGCTGTATGTACACGATCCCAGATTGTTTTTTAAAAACCATTTATACGTGTATATTTATATATAACCACATAGCAAAATCTGGAAGGACACATGCTCAAATGTTAACAATGGTTCTCTCAAGATGGTGAAAATTACAATTGTTATCTTCTTTGTGTCACTGTGTATTTTCCAAATTACTTAGGTATGCTTTATAAAGGAATACTGTTTTTTTCAAGGGTAGCATCTACAAGGCCCCCTCGGGTTTCCGGGTTCAGCAAAGCAGACCCAGCCAAAGGGAGCTATCTGCAAAGCCCCAAGGCCCGGGGGAAGAAAGCACGGGCAACCCGAGGTGGGATGGGGGTTTTGGAGGTGAGCATAGGGGGTGGCAGTGGCTTCGCCTACTTCAATGGCCCAGTCTGGCAGCCATCAACAAAGTCAGGGACCCAGGGTCTTTTTACACTGTTTACTGGGGAACTCGGGTGCCCAGTCCTGCCTGCCCTGCCAGGGCCTGGAGGCCCCTGGCCACCCCCTCGCTCACTCCACGCCCACCAGCCTTGCGTAACCTGAGCCGGGCAGCCAGGGCAAACACTGGCTGCTGAGCCAGGAGCGCCAAGGTGAGGCTGAATCAATAGTCCGCGTGTTGTTTTTCCTCCTTCAGCAAACAGACAGCAGGACCTCGGGGCCACATAACTGTCCCCGTATGGGCCCCTAACTAGCCAGAAGCCAAGCCCCTGGGATAGGACAAGCTGGCGCAGTCCTAATGGGGCTGCAGGAGGTATCCTGTCTCAGTGCCAAGCTTGTTGAGCAAAGCACCTTCCCACAGGCCCCGATGCCCCCACCACTCCCGGAGCCCAGCCCCAAAGGAGGCCACTTTGCGGGGTGGTAAAATGCAGCTCCCCACCTCAGCCCTGGGAACCCTTGCTTCTCCAGGGCCGCCCTTAGCCACAACCAGCCTCCCTGGCTGCTCCGACTGCAGTCCCACCCTGCAAGCTACGGGGACTCAACACACAATTCCTGGAGTATTTTCAGTTTACACCAAAATAACCTGACAGCTGATGGCAGGAGGCATCGGCGATGCAGCTCCTCCTCACCCCGGATGGGCAGAGTCCACAGGGCTCCCAGACGGGCCTGGAAGCCACAGCCCCATGACGCCTTGGGCGGCCAAGTTCCAGAAAGCAGGTCTGAGTAATGGCTGGGCAGCAGACATCCGGCCCTAGGGGGTGAAGGGACCCCAAGCCCCTCATTTAACAGAGGACGTAGGGCCCTGGGGGCAGAGCCGGATAAGAAAGCAATCCCTTCTCCCTTCTTGCCTGGCACCAGAATAGCTGCCTCTTGGGTCCAGATATGAAGCAAAGCCATCCCCCAAACCCCCGACCACAGTGTGTGAGTCCTGCTGAAGCACCCACATCAAGAATGGGTTCACCTGGATGAAGCCCAGGTTCCGGAGCACAGTGGATTGAGCTGCAGTTCCATAGGTTAAGGTGATTAACCAACCATTTACCTTGCAGCACCGGGAAAGTGAGCAGGCTTCAGACACAACCGACCAATCCCCACAAAAGGGCCTGCCTCACTCTGCCCAGCGTCACCCTTGGTGAGCGAGCAGTGGGTATGGCTTCCACAGGGCCCCCAGACCTCCCGGACAGCCTTGCTTCAGCATCCTGGAGGGAGGGAGGACCCCCTCCCAAAGGAGCAGGCGTGGAGAACAATGAATGAATGGGCTTCTCCCCACCCCCATCCCAGACTCTGACTCACCCTCTGAGTCCCAGTTCTGCCTAAACGCCGAGACGAGCTGTATTTCTAACCTCACGAGATGCCCTCTTACGCGGGACTCAGCTCCGGCTGTGGCCACAGAGAGCCATGGGTGCTCTCCTGGCCGTGTTCCTGGTAAAGCCCTTCTCTCCAGTCCCAGGAACCACCCAACACAGGCAGCCACTCTGACGCACCCAAACTGAACCCACCCCCGGGTCCAGCTGCCGTTTCCCAGGCACTGGGGGTCAGCTGTGGACAGGGCTGCCTGGGAAACCCCATCCAGTCTCTCCAGCACAGACACCAAGCCAGGTTCTGCTGCAGGCACTGAAACGCTCCTCTGAAATTCTGACTTTCAGTCCCTGCTTGACTGTTCATTTGCTGTATGATCTTGGACAAGTCACCTCCTCTCTCTGGGCCGCAGTTTCCTTGGTACAAAGTGCTAGGCCAGAGGTTTTCCATCTTTTTCTAGAGCCGCAGAATCCTTTCTAAAAAATCAAATCTTACGTGGAAGCCCAATACAGTAAACAGTAACACTTGGGCCACTCCGGTTGAGACAGGTCGGGCTTGGCTACTCCCCTATGCTGTGTCCACACCTGGCCAGCAGCAGCCCAGCCCTCACTAGGCCACATCACCTGAGTCCCCCTAGCCCCAGCGCACCAACCCTAGCTTCCCAAGTCAGGTAGGTTAATTCCAACACCCTCCGGTCCAGGAGGGTCTGCACCCCCGGGGCAAGGGGGTGGCATACGGCGACAGAGCGGGTATCGACCTGACAAGTGACCGCTGTCAGACCTGTCTGGCAAGCAGGCCGGCGACCCCGCAGGGATCGCAGGGGTCGCGGCCGGCCGACCAGGCACCAGGCCTCCGCGGGAAGCAGCCCCAGAACCTACCTGGGCCAGCCTCCCAGCGCCCCGGGTCCCGCACCTGCGCCTCCCGTCGCCCAGGTGCACGCGCGGGCGAGGCCCGGTCCGTAATAGTCCCCCGCCCGGCGGGAGCTCGGGCCCTCCCAGCCGCGGGTGGGCGAGCCGGCTGCGGCCGGCGGGGAGGCGGGAGCGCCCGGCGCCTCCGGAATTCTCTCCCCATCCCGCCCCGGCGGGGGCCCCGCAGACGCTTCCTGAGGTCAGAGGGCTCGCCCCGGCTCCGAGCGGAAAAGTACCGGCCCGGGGCCGGGCCCGGCGCGCTCAGGTGGGCTGCGGGCCGCTCCCCCCCTCCTCGCGGCTCCACCCTCGGGCCAGCCCGGCGGCCGGGTCTCCACAACGGCCGGGAGCCGGGCGGCGGGGGCCCGGGTCGGCGCTGCGTCGGCGCCCGGGCCGCGGCGCCCGCTCCCCCGGCAGAGCGGCCCAGTCCCCGGCGCGCTCGGGCCCGGCTCGCGGCGCGCTGCCTCCCCCGGGCCCGCGCCCCGGCCGCTTACCCTGGGGAGCCCGGGCGGGGAAACTTTTCCGGGCGAGCGCCGCGGCGGCTCGGGCGCCCCTCGGCCGAGCGGAGAGCCCGGCGGCGGGGCCTGGGCTCCGCGCGGTGCCCGCGCCCAGCAGCAGCAGCAGCAGCAGCAGCAGCAGCGTCACCGCGCGGGGGCGGGAGGCGCGGCGGAGCGGCCTCGGCCCGGCCGGCGAGCAGGGCAGGGCTCGGCCTGGGCTCGGGCTCCGGCGGGCGGGGGCAGCGGCCCGGCCGCGGCGGCGCGGCTTGTTTACTCCGGCCGCTGTCACGGCCGCGGCGGCCGCGCTCCGCCCCCTCCGCCGCCGCGCCCCTCCCCCGCGCTCCCGGGCCGCCGCCGCCCCGCCCGCCGCCCGCCCATGCCGCTCGGAGCGGCGGCCCCGCGGCCTTCCGGGCGCCCGCGGCCTCCGGCGCGCGGCAGGCAGGGGCGGGCAGGTACCGGGCCGGCGCTCCCAGCGCCCCAGGCCCCGCTGCCCGCGCCCCCGGCCTTTCGCGCCGGGCGCCCCCCGAGCGGGCGGCGGTGGAGACCGGGCTGGAGCCCTCGCGACGGGCCTGGGAAGTCACTCCGCGCTCACCCGGCTGGGAGCGGGGCGCTGGTCCCCGCCTCCCGCCTCCCCTCCCCTGGGCCGAGAACTCGGGCATGACCGGGTTAAGTGCCCCGGGACGTCCGCCCGGGGGGCCCCACCTAAGGCCGCAGGGCAGACCTCCTCACCGCCTGCCGTGGGCGCGGCGGTTGTTTGCGTCCGTATGGACACGTGCCTGAGACGAACAAGTAGCCCACCACCTTTTACTTTCTTTTTGTTTTTTAACTTTTTGTTGTTATTTACACCAACCGCCTCCGGGCACCAGGGCAGTCACGTCACTTCTCTCCCTGTTCTGTACAATTTAATGTCAGGCTGACATTATTAACCCCATTTTACGGGTAAGGAAACTGAGGCGCACGGAGGTTAAAGAATCTGCCCAAGATCCCACAGCCTGCAGGCCTCGGAGCCTGGGAGAGATCCGGGCTTTGGCGAAGCCGGAATCCAAGCGACTTGCAATACACCAGCCGGCTCCTCTCCCTCCCTGGGTCCTGCCCTAGAAAACGTCTGTGCCGCTTGGCTGAGGCCACCGCTGCTTGAGCTGAGAAAGGAAAGGGGAAATGTGGTCAAGAGCTGCACGGGGCTCTGTTATTACAGGGTTGCAGAGCGGCGTCTGCCCATCCCTTCCTGCTCCCTGTGAGATGGCCTGGCAGCGCGGTATTGTCCCGTGGCCCCCCTGACATAGGTTTGGGACAATGGCGAACAGCACACACGGCACCGCACAGCGCTTATACGAGCCAGGTCCCCTGCTCAGCTCTCCCCATGTGTTAAATCTTCCTCACCACTAACCCCATAATCTATGTTCCTGTAGTCACCCTTATGGTCTCCATCTGTGTTTCGCAGAGGGCACTGAGGTCCAGAGAGGCTGAGTAATCAAGCTAACCTAACTGACCGCATGGCAAGTCAACCGGCAAACCTGGTTTAGATCCCTGTAGCACTATTTCATATTGTGCCCTGTAGACAAATTCTCAGAGCCTCAATCTACCCCGCTGTAGAATGGAAATAATATCCAATGAAGGGCACGAGGTACCATTTGGGCACCCTTGCAAATGCTGGTAACACTGGAAACTCACGGAAGAACGTAGGGTCCTGAAAGCTGGGCTGGGAGCTAAGTCCGACCGGCTCCCTCTCCCGAGCAGGACCTGCCCCCACAAGAGCTGAGCGTCTGAGGAGCCACGCTGGGGTGGCCCCCGCCATCACCAGGCTTAGTTGGGAGAAACAATACTAAAGCAGTCAGACTGGGGCAGGAAGTGAGTCACAGTTCTTCCTTAGTCTGTGTGCAAGACGCAGCTGATGGGAAACAGGGACAGGGCTGGCCCCACCTAGCCTCGGGGTCCCCCAGGGCCCATCCCACTTGTCCTCTGGCCTAGAAAAAGAGGTCATCCCAGGGAGAAGGCAGTGCTGGCTGCCTGGAGGCCCCTCACCAGTCCTGGAGGCTGGCCTCAGGGGAGGCTGCCTAGGTCTCTGGAGGGGGAGGGGCACACCCTGTCTCTGATGGCTGCCACCCCTGCAGAGCCTGCCCCTCCAACCCTGCCTTTGGCATAGGGCTCAGAAATGCATCGCTGAGGGGAGGAGAGAGCACAGGGCTGAGCAAGTGAGCACCTGTCCCTGCTTTGCCCAGAGCATCTCCACCTTTGCCCTCACTTTAGTTTCTTCTATGATTGCATTTTGCAACACTTCAGTTGCTAAGAAGAATTTGGAAGGCACCCCCCTTGAGAGAACCCGGCTGTCCCAGCTGGTGACTGCTAGCCAACCTCTAACTTCATCTCCCTGAAAGGAGTCCGTGGACAGGTATTGTTCTCTTTATCACCGTGAAGGCAAGGAGGCTCAACTGCCCCTGGAGCCCAGGTCCCATTTTGGGGCCTCAGGAGCCCAAGGGCCTGTGGATCTTAGTTTATCAGTTTTACACAGCAGTTGGTTAGTAGGCCTGGGACGCCATGTGACAGCAGCCTGAAGGGGAGACAACCTGTGGGAAGGAGCCAGGCCTGACAGGTGAGGCCTTGGGAAGGATGGGGCCTCACAGGCGCTCCCACCTTCCCAGCAGGGCTCTTAGAAGAAGGATCCAGCCAGCCAGGCTGCTCTTTTTCCTTGAATTTGGGGCTAATCGGGGAGGCTCCTAGAAGTGACCATAGTCCTCTGGTCAAATCCAACGAATCAGCCTGACCCCAGGCACCCCCGTTGTCCTCTTGGAGTGATCTGGGGGTCCTCATCTCCCAAAACAAACCACCACTCTCAGGCACCTCAAACAAAGCCTTCAGCAGGAGCATCTACACCTGGGTTTGATCAAAATGTCTACACCACAGTCTCACATGCTGAAGGGTGTCGAACTGGTGTCTCCTCTGAAAGGGTGGGGCTTGAGAGCTTTCTGTTTTCTCCTTTTTGCTTATCTGCATTATCAGGAAAGTCTACAGTAACTTTTATACTAAAATAATGAAGCCTTTAAGTCATGCAAAATTGAATAAAGCATGCCCATACATCACCGTTCAGCTCCAGAGCACCTGGGGTCCGTCCTGGACACAGCTGGGGTGGCAGTCAGGCTCCTCCCATCCCATCACAGGGCAGGGCCCTTCCAGGTCTGGCCGAACCACTTCAGGAAAACCTCCTTTATGTGACGGCAGACGGTGTCTGTGGGTGGGGGGGTGGAGCTAGAAATGATTTGGTGGTGACATATCTGGTCACGCTGGGACAGGATCCCCGTGTGGCCACCCCTGCTCATCTTTCAGTTACAGGGGTGGGTCTGCCTTACCTTTTCCCCTCTGGCTCCACCACACCCAAAAGCCACTGTCAGTTCAATGGCTTCCCTCTGCCCACTGCGTGTCTTTCTGCCTTGCTTTCAAAGCCCAGCCAGTGCTGCCCACACCAAGCTTCTAATAGGCTGGTGGACGTTCGTTGAACACCTGCTGATCTGGGCCCTGGTGCGTTGGAGCTCAAGCTGCTTTGAGTTTGCCCAGGGCTCACCCCTGGTAAAGCTGGAAGGAGGCCCCCAAGACGCAGCGGTCAGTTACCATGACTACTCATTCGCCAGAGCTCTGTCAGCCTTGGCACTATTGACACCTTGGGCCAGATCATTCTTTTTGTGGGCTTGCCCTGTGTGCCAGGGGATGTTTAGCAACATCTCTGGTCCCTAAACACTGGGTGCCAGTAGCACCCCCACCGTCCGTATGACAACCTAAAATGTGCCCAGACATTGCCCAATGTCCCCTGTGGAGCAAGACCATCCCCAGCTGAGAACCGCTGGTCCAGACTGAGGTGTGAGCACAGCTCAGGAGGGGTCGGTGTGCCAGCGTGAGGCAGTGGGGGCGAAAACTCTCAGATCCCACAGGGCCTGGCATGGCAGGGCACGTGCTCAGGGCGAACGATCGGGCGTGTCCAGAGCCTCCAGTGACACCACTTTCAGTGATGTTAATGGTACTGCTGCAGAGAGGAGCCGTTGTGTTGATCGCACTCTGTTCACTGAGGTGGGGCAGCAGATGAGTCAGCGTTGCATTAGATACGTATCTGGAAAGCCCACTGGTGGGTGCTTGGGGAAGAGGAACAAACAGGGAGGTGGGAGGACCCTTCTGGGAGCGATGGATATGTTCATCATCTTGATTGTGGTGGTGGTTTCATGGGTGTGTACAAATTGCAAAAGGGATTGAGTTGTACACTTTAAATATGTGCAGTTCACAATGTGTCAATTATATCTCAATAAAGCTGTTTTTCGAATGTATTTGTTTAAACTTCAGTGCTTGAAAGGCATTATTTTGAAAATCCAGTGTTAAGTAGCCCATTTCTTGCCTGGGCCAGATAAATGGGAGGTGCGGGGGTCACTGTAGTACATAAAAAGAAAACAAAATAAAGGAGAACCCCATAGTGGGCCTCAGGACTCACCTGAGAAAGGAGGGAAAGGGGTACTGGGACATCCGGTGCACGTGTCCCTCCTCAAGGCCAGCGGGAGCCTGTCTGCCGGCTTGGAGGGAGCACCAGAGAGTCTCTCCCTTGGATGATGCTATCAAACCATCATGTCTGGAACCATATTATCAGGGGATTGGGAAAATAAAATAACAAATGTAGTACTGGCTGCCAGGAAAGGAACAGATGATTCTGGAAATTACAGGCTCCTCCACTAACTTTAATCTCTAAAATAAACATTGCTGGGGAAAGAAGTCAGTTAATACCTGAAGGAGGGCCGGTGCCACCCCTTAACGGGCACAGTACACCTGGGGGGCGAGAGCGGTGGCAGGAGTCACCTGCCTTGAGCTGCCTGCACCTTAAAGGCGCCAGCACCACTTGTGCCCAAGGGGGTGCACTTGGCAGGATGGGTGCTGGAAATGCCCAGGAGGGACAGCTGTGGGTGGCAAACAATGGGAGTCCTCTCATGACACTTGGAGTGTGTTTTAGCTGACGGAGGTCTCTACTGAGGTTCTCATGAACCCCTGAGTGAGGCCCAGGGCAGGGAGGAGACTTGTGGGTTAAGCGATGTGTGTCAAGAAAACCTCTGCTTGTGGAAGGTTGATTGTGCACCAGGCATTTCATTCATTCATTTATTCCTGAGAAGTTGATTGAGCACCTGCTAGAGGCAGGACCTTCCCCAGTGCTCCATTTGTGGTGGGGGAGGCAGCCAGCAGGTTAATAAGAGAAGTTCAGATCATCTTAAGTACTCCGGAACAAAAATAATAAAGAGGGTACCATGGTAGTGCCTGCAGGAGGGCAAGGGCTGGCCCTGGGGTGCGGTAAGGGAAGGCCTCTCGGAGGAGGTGGTATGTGAGCCGAAGTGAAGGTGTGAGCTGGCATCCCAGGCAGGGGAACCAGAGGGACACAGGCCTGGCACAGGAGCTCGTGTGTGTGGAGAACAGAAACTGCTCAGGCGACAGCGGGAAGAGACGAGGTGGGATCCTGCGCAAGGGCTGGGTCATGGAGCACATGGCAGGCCTGTCAGGGTGCTGGATTTTCAGAGCAGTGGGCAGCTTTAGGAGAATGTTACGAATGTACCCTTTTTAAAACTCTCTGACTATAGTGGGGAGAAGACACACGGGGATAAGAAGCCCCATAACAGGCCTACACAGGAGGTACCAGTAGGGCCTCCCGTGTTACACGAGAGGTTGGGACCGGCTTCGGGAAGTCCAGGGGCTGTGATGACTCAGTCAGCAGGGCTGGGGGCTCCCGCACAAGCCCAGGGGGGTGGGGTGCCACACCTTGGCCTGGGAAGCTGGGGCCTCCAGAGGCCAAGAGCTGTCCAGGGCGGCCAGGCCTGGGGCCCCACTGTCCAGTGGCTTAGGTGGGCTCAGGGGCTTCCCCTGCAACCACACCTACATGGGCATCTTTAGCAGGAGACTTGGCAACAAGGATGCTTCGAGTTAAGAGCTACAGCTCAGAAGGGCTCGTTCGCTCATTCTGAGGCTGGGCTGAGTGCCTTGTGCCGACTGCCTCGTTTACTGCTGGCGGTGGCCCTGAGGCAGGCACTATCATTGATTCCCTTTTGCAGATTAGGAAACTGAGCCCTAGCAAGCTTCCTGGGCTGGGGGCCGGGGTCACATCTAGGATTTGAACCCAGAGAGCCAGAGCAGAAAGCCCACACGCTTGAAGCACTCAGCCTTCTGCCTCTGGTAGAGGGCAGGCTGTGGCTGAATCAGAGGCGGATTCCCCCAGGCGCCGTGATGTGGGTGGCTCAGCTGTGATTCACTTTTGACTTTTTCTTGGACAGGCTTGTTCACCTGCATTCTCCCAGTAGCACACGCAGACGTTTCCATAATGTGTGTGCCACTGAACCATGGAACTGCCCTTCCCACACTCAAACCTCAGAGGGGGCTGACCAGTGTGCGGGTTGCCAGCCCAAGCGGGGGCTCAGGTCCAGCTCTGGAACTCATGTGAATGCCCCCTGGGCAAATGACTTAACCCTCTGGGGCCTCAATTTCCTTATCTGTAAAATGGGGTAAAGCTACCTAGCTCAGCAGGTGCTCAGCACAGTGCCTGGCCAGCAATGGTGGCTCCTGTGACAAGTCACGTCCTTCTCCTTCTGAGGCTCCTAGCTGGCCCTGGTGGCTTTTCTGGCCCAAACCCAGGCTTTCATGGAAGAAATCTCTGACCTCACTGCAGCTCTGCTTTTGGTGCTGTTGGGTTATGGTTTCCTGCATGAGATTGCTGCCCGCCTCCTCGCACTGCTGTCTGTGCTCGGAGCAGGCTTTGCTGTGGCCTGGCCCCTGCATGGCCCACGAAGTGCCTTGGACTCATTTTGCAAGCTGCTTGTCCCTTTGACCTCTTGCCTCTGAGGCCAGAGGTCAGCAGACAGTCTTCCGAGGAAGGACTTCCCAACTGGCTCACAGACGTGCAGAATAAGTGGGCAGCCTGTGGGGGCAAGTAGACCAGGCTGGCTGAAGCTGCTGGGGCCTTGCTGGCATTGCTGCCCTGCGCTGATCCCTGCTTAGTGGCTGGAGGCTCTAGAACCCCTTTCTGGCCGGCTAGTGAGCTCTGCTCCCCAGTGGGCACCGGGCAGTCTGGCCACACGGGGGCAGGGGCCGCTACTATCTCCCAACACCAGCCACATCACGGGGCTTGCCAAACTGTCTCCTCACAGAGTCCTGGTAGGGCTGATCTTCCTGACCTCCTCATTTTTAGAGAGAAGAAATACTTTCCAGATAATAGTCTGGGAAGATCGCTCTCCTGGGGAGCAATAGGCTCTTTACCACTGACAGTGGGTCTCTAATTTGAGCCTCACATGTTCCGTTTACGGGAAAGGGACTCCTGCAGCCTCCACAGTGCTGACGGAGGTGGATTACTTTTGTTCTATTAGGTATATCTTCCTTCCTCCAGCTCTTACGTGACCACCAATCCAAAATGACTCAAGGTCAGAACTATGTAAATAAATACAGACAGGGCAATTTTGCCACCTCTGCCCCTTCTGTGCAGCCCCCACCACACCTGAGAACCAATATTTTTTAGATCTGACTTATCCTTCCAGTGTTTCTTTCTGAAAAAAGAAAAAAATATATTTATATACACACACATATTTATCTCCCTCTCTCTTCTTTTACTCCCCTCTTTTACCAAAAGGTAGCTATTACAATCTGTTTTTTGCTTAGCAATACATTCTGGAGAAATTCACATAGTAAACATAAACAAAACCATAAACTCGATACAACACACTGACAACACTGGTTAAATGGGAAGGATGATGTTGTTGGCTAGAACCAAATTGCCACCCGCAGCGACAGGGGGCTGACCAAGGAGAGCAGCCCTCCCTTTGAGTGTGACGTGCCTGTGGAGGATGCCGGGTGCTGGGGAATGACTCAACTCTCCCACCACTTTTCTCTAGTTTGAATTACGGCAGTACTTGTGTTTGCACAGTGAGCTGTTACATCACTTGGCCTTCACTTGGCTTCAACGCATCATTTACGCATTAAATCCGCCTCTCTTCTTTTCTTGTTAGCCAGCAGCAATTAAAAAGGACTGCCGGATGCCAACACAATCATAAACACAAATGCAAACTCGGCAGCGAAATCCTATGTCAACAGAAGATTGTAAGGTGGTCAGGCTGACAGTAATGATGATGAAAATGATCGTACTGGCCAACATTCACTGAGTACTTGCCATGAGCCAGCAGCATGCTAAGAGCTTTACGTGCAGGGTCTTAGGTAATCCTCCGAGCAGCCCTGTAAAGTAACCACAACCCATTTTACAGACGAGAACATTTGGTCTCAGCAGGATTAAATAACTTACTTGAGTCACATGTAGAGGAAGTTGTAGAGTCAGAATCTGCACCTTTGTCAGGCTGACCCCAGAGACCCTGTAAGTGCTGGTGGCTGGCGCAGGGACCTTACTCTGCTCTTCGCCACCAGGTCCTGGCCATAACTGCTCACCTTGGCCAGACCCTGCCGTGCTGGGCTACGCAGGATACGTGGGGCGTGGAGCAGACACATGGCAGAAGGGGAGTGTGGGGTCCACAGTCGCCACCGGGGAACTCCCAAGGGACCCTCTCCCTGCAGTCCTGGCTGAAGGTGCGCCAAGTCTTCACATTCATTCCCCTGCCTCCTCTCTCAGTGTCAAAGCAAATAAACACACATGCCAATACTGCCATTTAGAAGATAATCCATGTCTGTGGCTCGCACAGTGACACTTTTTCAGGTCCTGGCAAAAGACAGAGTTCTGAGTGTTCCCGCAGCGTCCCTGGCTGGCTGCGCTGGCAGCGCTGGGCCATGCCCAAGATAAAAGTGCGCCTCTGTGGCCATCACCTCCCTGTGGCCTTCCAGCCCCCCTGCTCCCGCCCTGCTCACTTCCTCTCCCACGCTGTCTACTGTCACCGCCTGTGTTTGTCCCGTCCTGGACCCGTCCCTAAACCCCAATGCAGCTCAGCAGGGGGCTGCACGTCCAGGAGAGAAGATGGTCAGTAAGTCTGGAGCTGAGCCTCCACCCAAGCTTAGCTACCCAGTCACAGAGTCTGTCTGAGTTCCATATGCTTCCTGGGCAACAGGCATATTAATAGCTCCATGAGGAAGACCATGACCCAGGGCAGTCCTGCTGGCAGCTAGCTGCTTTCCTGTGTTGTCACCCACGGGTGGGGGTTTGGCCATCAAGGATTAGGTCAGGAAGGGTCCATCAGCCTGCCCGGCTGACGCACACTAAGGTTTACATAACCAATGCCAGGGCCCTCCCAATATCTGGGGACCCCCACTGCCTGCCAAGGATTTCCTCCTGGGGAGGGTCCTGTGAGGCACTCACTGGCCCAGGGGAGCAGGGAGGGCACCATTCCATGCCCACCTGTACACCTTCCTCATATCCAGGCCTGAGAATGCGGACACAGCCCCCACCCACCAGCCCTTTCCAGTAAGCCTCTTACTCCACGTAGTAATTTGGTTTCTGTTTTCCTATATTAATACAGTAGTTGCAAAGAGGAAGTCACCTGTCTTTTTGGCTCCAGGGCCTCTCAGAGCTCCATAAAGTCTGGTCCCATCATGCAGTTCCCGTGTGGTCTCCACCTGGCCTCACCATGGTTGGATTTGGGAGTTCTTTTCATCTGGGTGTGAGCTTCTTCTAGAATCCAATCTCCTATTTAAAAAAATTGGCTTCTTGCATGAGAAAAAGCATTCATATGGAAGCCTGTGCCTTCCTGACCTCATCCAGTTCTCCAGTTCTGCACCAGGCTTCTTTGGCACCAGCACCCTGGCCTCCCTGCTGTTCCTCTATCACTCCAACCACATTCCTGCCTCAGGGCCTTTGCACTGGCTCTTCCCTCTATCTGCCCCTCTCTTCCACATCACCACATCATTAGCCAGCTCATCTCTTTCAGGACTTGGCTCGGAGGTCACCTTTGCTGCCTTCAACACGTTAAAATGCAAACACAGCCCTCCCCATGCCCCTTGCTTAATTTTACTCCATAGCACATTCACCACTGGAATACTCTACACTCTCCTTATTTGTTCATTTCTTCCCCTACTACAATGCCAGCTTGACACAGGGAGGCGTTTTTGTGTTTTGCTCACTGCTGTCTCTTCAATGGCTACAACAGTGCCTCGCACATAGTAGGTGTTCCATAAATGATTTCATTGTAGAAAACTTGAATTTGCATAAAAACACAAAGAAGAAATAAAAGATGCCTAGAATTCCCAACTTTTCCAGCTGAGCTCCCCATTTCTGAAGGCTTTTATGTAGAAACCGAGCATCCCTTTGGTGAGGGGCTGAGGAAATGATGTATGTACTCCATGGAGGTGGGGTCCCTACTCTTGGAGACATTCTGCGGCCCTGCAAAGTGCTCTCTGCTGCCCCAGGTCATTGTCTGTGACTCAGGGCTGCTGGCCAGCACAGGGCTTCCTCCTTGGCCGTCAGCACTGGGTGGGAAGTCCTACCCACCAAAAGGTTTGGGAAACAGGGCAGAGCAGAGCCACTCATTGGAGCCGCACGAGACTGCCCCAGGAGGGAACACGGCAGATACCTGCCCAGGTCTGGCAGATGGGGACAAAGGTGGGACTGGACACTCCCTGGCCTGGCTAAATTGAGGAACGTCAGGCCATCCTCACATCAGATGTGTCCCCATCTAGCTGCCACAATGTCTGAGTTGTCTCATTAGAGAGATTCAAGTTTCTGCCTTCAGAACGCACTCCTGGGAGTACCAGGTGCCCTGTCACGGCAGCAGCACGATGCAGGTCAGGATTTGTGTGTCAGCACACGGTGGGGCCCAAGCGCATGTGAGACTGGTAGCGGGGGCATGCAGAAGAGGGGCACTGCCAGCAAAGCAGGCAGCGCAAGAGCCCTGTTCTCCATGACAGGGACCCTCAGAACCAAGGGCCTCACAACAGCAGTGGTGACCTCACAGGTGAACCCCAGGCAGGCGCTGGAGCAGCTTATCTGGGACAGGATGTGGCTGTGAGACGCACAAACCAACACACGCTCTCCTCTCGACGGCCGCATGAGTTCTCCCAGGACTCAGTTTTCCCAGAAACGGGGTCACTGGGGCACCACCCCTAAGGGGAGGCTTTGTGGAGTCCCTTGAGGGTTCACTGGGGACGAGACACTTGGGGGCTCACAATCATGGTGAACACAGAGCTCATGTGCCACCACCTGTGTCCTGGCCCACGGCAGACACCGCGATCCACCCCCATGTGGCTGGGGAACCCTGCCCCCCACTGCCCCAGACAGTCCCTGCTAACCTACAGGATGTAACGGGTGCTGCCCGTCCCTGGGGGCGGGTGAAACAACCGTGTCCTCACAGCGTCCGGACTCCTCAGATGAGGAGATGTGGCCAAGGTCACGCAGGCGTTACTGGGGAAGGCAGGTGTGGGGCTCTGGTCTTCCTGCTCTGGGTGCAGGGCTGTCTCGCCTGTGGCTAGACAGCTGGCCGGGGACACAGGCCCAGAGGAAGAAGCCACTGTAGCCTCACATGTCCACAAGCTCAGAGTGTGAAGTCCCAGGGGGTGCGGGTTGACCTTATAAAATGTGGACTTTCTGGGCTCCGTGAGTCAGCAGAGCAGTGGTGAGCCGATGTCAGGGCGGCGGGAGTCCAGAAAGAACATGGTGGCTGGCCCAGCAGGTCCGTGTGTGCCTGAGGCCTGCCCAGGTCCAGGGCGAACTCCCCAGCACCCCCGACAGAGGTAGCCAGGCCCGGTCCAGGCGACATGCCTTGGTTCGGGCTGGGCTCTGCACTGGGCAGGTCATCTCCGCGCTGGGTCTCTGGTGCCTGACCCATCAGTGAGGGAGCCGTGGCGTAACGTAATGAGCCTCGGTTTCTTCACCATTAATTGGGGCTGAGGAAACCTCCCCCGCCGAGATGTCACACATGCGGGATGAACCACAACGCCCTGCACACAGCAGGTGCTGGGGCACCTGGAGGTCCCTCAGGACCTCCCAGCCTAGGAGCCCAGCCTGGGACCCAGCCTTCCTGTGGGAATCCGCCTGCCGCACGCCTGTCTCTGTAGTCGCCAGGATGGACCTACCTTGGCCAGCCTTGGAGGATGAGAAAATTGGCTTCTCCTGAATTTGGGGAAGGGCCGGAGATGAGGGCACTCCTCTTTGAGGAGCCCAGAAAGTCCCAAACAGCTGAGCCCAGGGTCCCTGTTCTGTGGCCTCCTTGTGTGTGTCAGTGGTGGGGGGCTTCAGGGTCCCCTGAATCTCCATGGAGGGAACTCCCAGTGTGGCTGGCCAGCCAGGGACTGGGCGGGGGCTCAGGAAGAGGTTCTGGCAAGAAGAGGCAGGTAACTGCCCACCTCTGGCTTCCCAGGGGCCTGTTTCTGGAAACTTCAGCTCCTGTGTGCCCACCCACATCACACAAGGGATGCTGGGGAAGGGACACTGGTGGCACTGCTGGGCAGGAGGAAGAGCTGGCTTTGTTTTGTCCAGACTGTTTTAAAACAAAAAATGGTCCATAATGCAGTTTTAAAAGAAAAAAGGAGCTGGTTATAAAATAGAAGGTATAAGTGAAGTTTATATGTATATAGTGAAAAACTGACCGGACAGGCTGACAGGGCTGTGTCCTAAATCATAGGCTTGAAGCTGGAGTTTTCTTTTCTCCTTTGTGCCTTTCAAACTTCTTGGCAGTGAACTTGATTTGCTTTTATCATCAGAATAGCAACAGTAAACACCACCATCTTTAAACAACAGCACGTGAAGCCTGCGGTCTAGGCTCCAGCTGTGAGCAGAGGGCCGCTGAGGGCGACTTCGGCTCCCCCTGCTCCCCATGGATGGTGACCCGCAGGCAGGGCTGAGGCCAGCGGGTTTCGTGTCCCTCAGGCCACGGTGGACGCCTCCTTCCCTCTTGACGAGGGGTCACATCCAGACCTCTCCCATCCCCCAGGCCTGACGGCTCCTGAGGTCCTGCCAGCCACCTTGCTGGCCCACTGGCGTAACTGTGGCTTTGTCCCACCCCCAGCAGGAGGCCCACTCCCCGCCTGCCGGGAACTGGGCCAGGCGGACGGACGCGGTGACAAGCAGCTGTGACGTCTCCCCACTTCCTTCCACCTTCCCTGCTGCTGAGTCAGGGTCCCTTTGGGGACAGATGGCGGGATGTGGCAGGACGCTGGGCAGCCCCCAAGGACTAGGCAGGCTTCAAAGAGAGGAAGGAAGCTTCGAGGAAAATCAGTGAATAAGCAGAGACGGTCTGTGTCCCCATGTGTCCCCGTGTCCCTGTCCTGGGCTTGGTTCTTTGCAGGGTCTCCTCTGGGACTGCGGCCACAAAGCCTGGTGGGCACCCCAAATGCTCTCGTCTCAGAAGTACAGTCTCTTGACCCTCAGCAGATCCCTCTGTTTGATACGCCCTGACCTGAGCTCCTCACAGCGGCCGTGACATGACAGATGACACCGGGAGCTGGCAGACACCGCGAGGTGGCACCTGAAGACCTCTGCTTAATCTCACTGCCCACAGATGAGTCATGTGAGCAGCCCACCGGGGTGAGGGTGAGGAAGGGGCCTGAGCTCAGAGGTTCTCAAACAAGGGCTGTCGTTTCTCTCAAGTCTCTCGGCCTACACTCTCCCCGGGGCTCCCGGCTGAGTCTGTGGAGGAGCCCCTAGGGGGAGCCCTCGGGGGCTGTCTGTCCTCCCAAAGGCTCTGGTCCTGCCGCCACCTCTCCCGTCCTGCTTGCTAGACCTAACTGACGATCCACTTGTATTTTGTGTGTTTCCATTTCCATTGCATGACTGTGTCATAATTTGATGGTTTCCAGTTCCCTCCCAGTGCACTCACCTGAGAGCTTCCGCAGACTTACCTGGGGGAGGCACAGGGAGAGCTGCCTGCAACTTGGCAGGACGCCCCATCACGTTCCTGCCAAGCGGCCTGACCGATCTTTCCTTCCACCAGCCGTGCCTTAGACTGGGGTCCACATTTGAGAGCACCAGCTTTTTTTTCCTCTTGATTCTGGCCAATCTGATAGGTGAGACATGATATCTCACTATTGTTCAACTTAGTTTCTCTGACACCAGCAGGGCAGAGCTTTTCTTCAACGAATTTCTTTTTCTATGAGGGGTTTGTTCACAGCCTATGCTGAACTTTTCTGTTGGGTTGGTTTTGTGTTTTCTCTTGGTTTGCAGCAATCTTTTATATATTCTGGAAACTGATCTCCTGCTGGTTGTAGGTATTGCAAATATCTTCTCCCAGACTGTGGCATTTTGTTAAATTTTGTTTGTGGTGTTTTTTGTTGGGCTGAAGATGTGAGTGTTAATGCCATCAGACTCATTAATGTATTCCTTTACGGCTGATGCTTTTGGTACCTAAGAAATGCTTCCCTATCAAGGCACAAGGGGGCTTTCCCAGTTGCTGGTTGGGTCGTATTTCTTGGTCTGGGTGCTGGGTACAAAGCTGGGTTCACCTGAGGAAATTTTATCAAGCTGCACGCTTATGACATGCACTTTCTTTATGCATGTTGTAATGAACAAAAAGTGTACTTAAAAAAGAAACCATTCCTTACTCTGAAGTCATAAAAATATTCTAGATTTTCTTCTCCATGTGTGAAGCATTTGTTATTCACATGTAAGCCTGGAGTCGGCATGTGGTGTTAGGTGGGGCCTAAGTGTACCTGTTCCCTGTGGATCACCATTTGTCCCAGCACCAAGTATGAAAAGCCTGTCTTTTCCCTGCTGGCTGGCGATGCTCCTGTCACGCAGCAAGTTCTCGTTTATGCAGTTCTGCCTCTGGGCTCTTCTGCTCATTTCCTCTCTTTGCAGCCTGACGCCAAAGCTGGTGTGCTTAATTTCTTTAAAAAGTTTTAATATCTGGTAGGACCCAGTGGAGGGCTTCAAGACAGGAAATGATATAGTCACAACGATGCTGTGACAAGGTCACTCTAATGAATGGAGAAGGATTTTAGAGACCAAGGCCAGGATCGGGGTCCAAGTGAGAGGTGAGCAGCTCAGCAGCAGGTGGTGGCCGAGAGGGGGGCCGACGTGGACGTGTAGTGGAGGTGAAGTGGCTGGGATTCGCTGTTGGACTGGAAAACCTGAGATTGAAGGGGACTTGGTTTTTGGCCAAAGCAGCTGAGAGGATATGGTGGTGCCATTTGCTGACTGGGAAAACCTGGGTGAAGCTGACAGGCGGGCTCTCCGAGAATGCCCATGAACGACTGAATGAACGAAGGCGGTGGGCAGGCGGGAGAGCAAGCAGTCCCTGTGCTACCTCCTGTGGCCCTCAGCCTAAGTCCTCAGGGTGAATAGGGCACCACCCCGTTTCCCTGCATGGTTGTCATGTCCCCCAGGCAGGGCTGTCAGCTCGTCTTCCCTGCTGTGTGGCAGTGCCCCATCCCCGGCCCTGAGCTGGGACCCCCAGAAGCTTGGTCCCAGGACACTGGCTCATGGAAGGCTTCCAGTCCCCGGGAGGCCCGAGGCTTCTGGGGGTCAGAAGCAGGCCCCTTAGGCTGCAGGTCCTGCTCTACCACTTGCCTCCCTCAGTTGGTGGTCTGGGGGAGTCTTCGTGTCATTTTGGAGGTCTGAGCCACTTGCCCGGATGAAGCACCGAGTCCTGGGCATCCCTGGGGCGTGCGGGAGGCACTGCTGAGGAGAAGCTCACAGCCTCAGTGGCCCTGCTTGTGGCTGGGGGCTCAGACCTGGACAGTTCTGACCGGAGAGTCTCTCTGTTTACAGTCTGCCACTGGCTCATCGTCCCCAGCTGTTATGAAAACACCTTTAGTTCATGAAGAGTGGAAACTGCATCTGAGCGCGCGAGCTGAGTCATTTCTCTGAGCAGGCCTTCGGCCGGGCAGCCTTTTGGCCAGGCCTGGGGTGGGCTCTGTGTGGGTCTGCATTTTCCTCGGGGACAGCCCCAGGTGGCTGGGCAGGCCCGCTCAAGCCCCAGGGCACGGGCTTCACTCGGCTACTCATTGAATCAGAAGTGATTTAAAGCCCCTTCCCAGTGTTGAGAGTGGAGCCCCAGAATGGCTGAAGAGAAGGGAGGGACCCCAGAGTTCTCAAGTCCCAGGTTGTCATGTCCCCCAGGCAGGGCTGTCAGCTCGTCTTCCCTGCTGTGTGGCAGTGCCCCATCCCCGGCCCTGAGCTGGGACCCCCAGAAGCTTGGTCCCAGGACACTGGCTCATGGAAGGCTTCCAGTCCCCGGGAGGCCCGAGGCTTCTGGGGGTCAGAAGCAGGCCCCTTAGGCTGCAGGTCCTGCTCTACCACTTGCCTCCCTCAGTTGGTGGTCTGGGGGAGTCTTCGTGTCATTTTGGAGGTCTGAGCCACTTGCCCGGATGAAGCACCGAGTCCTGGGCATCCCTGGGGCGTGCGGGAGGCACTGCTGAGGAGAAGCTCACAGCCTCAGTGGCCCTGCTTGTGGCTGGGGGCTCAGACCTGGACAGTTCTGACCGGAGAGTCTCTCTGTTTACAGTCTGCCACTGGCTCATCGTCCCCAGCTGTTATGAAAACACCTTTAGTTCATGAAGAGTGGAAACTGCATCTGAGCGCGCGAGCTGAGTCATTTCTCTGAGCAGGCCTTCGGCCGGGCAGCCTTTTGGCCAGGCCTGGGGTGGGCTCTGTGTGGGTCTGCATTTTCCTCGGGGACAGCCCCAGGTGGCTGGGCAGGCCCGCTCAAGCCCCAGGGCACGGGCTTCACTCGGCTACTCATTGAATCAGAAGTGATTTAAAGCCCCTTCCCAGTGTTGAGAGTGGAGCCCCAGAATGGCTGAAGAGAAGGGAGGGACCCCAGAGTTCTCAAGTCCCCACATATCTAATGGGGGTACAGAGGGGCGAGGAGCGGGGAGGAGGGAGAGATGAAGGGGCGATCTCAGCTTGGGGGGCAGTTTGGGCTGGGTCTCGCCCTGCCTATGCACCTGGGAACCCCCAGCCGGAAGCTCTGTCCGTCCTGCCATAACCCTGGCCGGAGGTGGCCTTCAGACAGGGGCCCAGCATGGCTCTTGGAAGAGGAGGGGGAAGGAGGCGGGTACAGAGGAAGCCAGTCTTTATTAAGCACAGCACCTACCTGGTGACGAGGCCTCGGCTAGCTTGTTCTCAGCCCCACGCCTCATGCCTGGTCCAAGGACCCTGGCCCCTTGCCGGCCCCACAGCCTGGGCTGGTGCCCTCACCTCCCCAGCATCCGTCCTCATCTGCCAGCTTATCTTCCTCATCTGGCCTCAGGGTTGCTGTGAGTGTCAAGCAAAAATACATAGTCAATAAATGGCCCCTCATGCATGTTTTATAAATAGGAACAACGCAGTTCACATTTATTGAACAGCCGCTGTGCCAGGCTGTGTGCACAGCGTTCTCTTCGGGTCGCTCCTTTGATCCTGCTGGCACCTTTGAGGCAAGTTCTCTTTTTAGTCCCATTTCATATAGGAAGAAATCGAGGAGATGTTAAGTAACTTGTCTGAGGCTATAGAACAATGATGTGGGAGCCAGAATTCTGATTTTACGGGTGATTACGTACGTCAGGCAGGCTGGAGCACCCTGGTATTTCTCAATGTGCATTCTTCAGGGCCCTCATCTTTGCTCCATTTAAAAAAAAATTGCTTCACCATCAGATAAGCATGGAAAACCCTGGAACATTGCCTTCTCCTTCTGAGAGACTCCTGGGGCCCTCTGGTGTAGTAGAGGCTCTCAGAAGTGTTGTGGTGAACGGGGAAAAAAACACAAACTGTTT